TAGGAAATGTAAAAATTCCAAAAACCTGGTGTCTGTTGTTTCTGGTGGCAACTATTTTGCTTAAATGTGAAATTATTGTTTAAAAAAAAGGACCACATCGGCTATAAAAAAAGATGCAGAAATAAAAAAAAAGAGGGGTGAACATTCGCCATAAAAATGAGTTTTTATTCACCACCACCCCTCTTTCAGACCTTCACACAGGTTTTAAGTTATGGGTGACTTGTATCCAGAACTTTCTCTGGCCTAAATCTAGGTATGAACAAGCTCTCTTTTATACGGAAACTCTGTTCATCATTAGCCCTTGTTAATCTTAAATTTACATGTTTATTCACTCAGGTTTTGTTGTAGTAGAACAGTAATTGCTAATAAATTTATAACATTTGATGGTTTCAGTGAACGAATATGATATTTGTATCTACAAGCAACAGTCAGGTTTACAAATAATGTTTATTTACATATGACAAACTTATAACTAACGGGTATTTACGTTGGTGGTTTAATAAACTTTTCCTTTAGTGTCCGATCAATGATATGTACAGGAAAACCATTTTCACATAACAATTCTTTGTACAAAAAATTCAAAAATACTTGAAATTCTGTAGGCACAAATGTTCTTTACACACACAGTAGATATGAAGATTCTGATGTTGGAGTACAAACCAGTAAACATATTGTGTGGAAGTTATCATCATTGTTGTATGTATCCAAAAATTAGAGTTTATAATCCTGTTGACATTCCTCGATAAATTGTATACTGTTATGTTTGCTGTTCAAATACTCACGAAACATTGTTAGACATTCTAAAGATGTTGAAAGTCTGTACAACTACAGTAGCTTAAAAGACTGCGGACAGTCTTCTAACTATTGGTTTCATAATAATAATAAAGAAAATTACTGGAAAAAGAAGGAGCCTTTAGCTACTTCATCAGTTTGATCATTAAGATCACCATTAAGCAGAGGATGCTATTTCAAGTTTGGAAATATTCAAATCATGAGATTTGTTAAAAATCAAATCAACACTTAACTGTATAGTTTCTTCTGTAGGTATGTTCATACACAAAGATTCAACATCAAAGCTAAAGTAATAAACATTGCTTAGATTTTTCTACTTCACCAAAAACTATCTTTGAAACTATATTCCTCGGTAGAAAAGTTTTGAAACTATAAGTCGTCTATTTTAATAAGACAGTAGAATATTTCTGGATGACTACCCGATGGTCTAACTTTTAAACATTGTTTCTCAGTTAAAACAATATTTTTCCTCAGTTTCAATTAATATCATTTGTAACCTAGTCTTTCTGGTATCATGATGAAACTTCACGAATTTTGTTGAATCACTTAGAATGTCAGGCGAGTGGACGTGGAACCTCTATATGAAAGAAACAGCTTGCTCCTACATTAACTTGATGCCAGAGATTAACGGAGTACGTGCTCTTGGTTGATAACCATAATCGGTGTGTTACACTTATCGGCCTAATTACTAGATATATTAATAAATCTCCGATGGCCTTTAAACGTCTAACGATTATTTTTAACAGTTAAGTGACTCTTAAGAATTATTTGTACAAAAAAATAGCTTCTTTGCTGAAACTTAAAAGTTCGTAAACTTCTAGAAAAGGGTAAATTATCTTAATTATAAAGTTTTGAGTTTCAAGTAGCACTTGACATTAATTAATAGCATGTAACGTTTACAACTAGATGTAAATAAGCGAAAACTTCGAGATCAGGAAGAAATTCCGATTTCCTTAGGTGACTGAGATGTAAGATTAAGAGCTTATTACGCTAAATTTCGGGATTCCATCCCTGCGTTAGAGACAAAGCAGATAGCAACGAAAAAAAAAAAAAACAACGTTATGATAGTGGTGCCATCTATTAGCCTTACACGAAGTTTAAAACAAAATTAAGACGCAATGAGCTCAGTCGTTCTAGGCCTATCTTTTTTTTTTTGAGTATATTGAAGAACAAGCACACTGACAAATAATTTCACGATAAAAATATTTTATAAATATAATTCTGATTACAGTTTCACAGTGTTTCTAATGCTAACTCGAGATGAGGGTTATAACACAATCTACGAACAACAAGGGACCATTTGACTCTTCAAGAATATTTCTTAACACCCGCCCTTGACAAGAATAAAAATTTAAACCCACCCTTTACTTTTCACAAGCCATCGACTCACATCTTAAACTTATGTGAAGTGCTAGCCTCCATAAGTCAGTTTCCTTAGAAAAGCTGTCTTTACTGGAGCTCAACTGTTTTTTTTCTGTATCTTAAACTTGTACACACTTTCAGAATATCGCACAAGTCGGAGGCCTTTATCCTATCGATATCCCGGACAATCTTGTAACCTTCGATAACGTCGCCTTCTTTTCTTGTTTCTGTTGTTAAGCAAAAAGCTACACAATAGACTGTGCTGTCCTCACCACAAGTATGGAAATCCGGTTTTTAGCGTTACAAGTCTTCCGACTTACAGTTGAGCTATTGATACTTTTTTACTCAAGAGAAAGTAGATCTTACTATATAACCCTTTCATCCCCGGATCATCTTTGTAGCCCTCCTCCAAATCCATTTCAATATGTCAATATCTTAAGTGAGAGTACACATTTACAAATTATTTAAATACATATTTATACATCAGTTCAGTATATCCATGTCTAATATGTACCAAACTTCAACTGCTGAATACAGGGCCGTAATTAGCTAAGATACACACATCTAAAATTACGTTTTACCAAGGTAGAATACTGGTTCTGGTTGAGGTGATGGCTGAATACATACATTTGTTTATTATGTTCATCTGATGTTAGTAGGGTAAGGGTATGATAAGGTGACCATGTTTTATAAATTACACCTTCACTCACCACAGTTCCAGTACTGCAGACGCTAGCTTTAGTAGTGACAGTTGTATTTCTGTGATGAGTGTGTCTGTCATTTTGTTGTTTTAGAAAAGAACACATGACATAATCAAGGTTGTAGCTATGGCTAATGCACCAGTGTCGTCACATGACTATGCAATTACCCAAACTGGTGATGATAAAACTGACTGAATGTTCGTGGTTAATGTATCTCTGCTGCAGAGTTCATATGAAATGAAAAGGAATTTGGGGGCCATTTTTTCGAATCAGGATAACTTTTAGGGACGTTTTCTTCCCAGAGACTGTAACCGTCTTGGGAAATCTGGGATGTAGGATCACCCTAAGTATGTTGGCTAAAAATATGTATATAATGTTCAAACTACTTGGCTGGGTGTGTCCTAGTGGTTAGCATTCCCAACTGTGGACCAGAAGGAGCAGGGATCTCGTCTCGTTACAGCAGTCAAAAACAACAACAACAAAAAGCTGCCTTTCCTCTACTATCAGTTCAAAATTAGGGATGGCTAGCAGTCTGTGCCACTAGCTGCCTTTCCTCTACTATCAGTTCAAAATTAGGGATGGCTAAAAGTCTGTGCCACTAGCTGCCTTTCCTCTACTATCAGTTCAAAATTAAGGATGGCTAAAAGTCTGTGCCACTAGCTGCCTTTCCTCTACTATCTGTTCAAAATTAGGGATGGCTAGCAGTCTGTGCCACTGACTATCTGCTCTCCCTCTAGTAACAATTCAAAATTAAGGATGGCTAAAAGTCTGTGCCACTAGCTGCCTTTCCTCTACTATCAGTTCAAAATTAGGGATGGCTAGCAGTCCGTGTTTGGACGTGTAGTGAAGGGTTATCTGTTTAGATGTGTATTGAAGGTTATATGTACTTCAGGTAAAGATTTATTATACCTTGTAACCTTTATGAATTAATGTTTTCAATAACTGACATTTTGTTTCCATTCAATCTCAATAGACATTTTATTCATACTTGTGATTAAATTTTTTAACATAAAATACAATAACTATAACACTTTTATACTAAAAAAATATTATGTTCCACTTCATTTTTATTCTAGTCAGTACTTTTGATAAACAATGAATATACTCGTTTTCATCCCTTTTATTGTTTTCAGAGAAAAAAATATAACTACACTCGAATATTTAGCATGTACATATATAACTGATGCAGTCCACCTAAACAGCAAGTTAAGCTTAGAATTTGAGAAATGTCATATAAGGCTTATAAGTTGACATATTACATACACTAGATTGATTGATTAGAGAGACAACCCCTTCTGGTTTATTTTCATACTACAGTTTGTATTGTACAACATACTGCTGCTAGACTAGACACAGTGATCATGTTTCCTCTAGTAGTTTCTGGATGGTTTATGAAGTTGTAAGGACAAACATGCTTACCCTTTTTCATAATGTAAGTAAATTACACTTCTAATTTAACTACTTTTGTCCAATGCTATATGTTTTTGTCTTTTTTCTAACACCCGAGGCTCAGTTTCTCTGTATATATTTTTATTTACATTCACTTAAAGCATATTTTATTCTAACACCCTAAATAATACAAAACACACTGTCAGAAGTTTATGAAACTTAACTAAAAATAAATAAACAGAAAACTGTGATTTTCAAAGCCAAGACTTTCTCTCAATTCAATCGGTTCTTACACATATCAACTTCCAATCAAAGCAGGCTACCTACTTAGAATTTATATATCTGTCTCCCTTTTATGAGTTTTGTTAAGGATTACTTGTAGTAAAATTAATGGTTGAATCAAACATAGAATGTGTTACAATACTTTTTCTATCAAGCTGCAAAAAACGGTTTATTGAAATGTAAGCAAGTAAACAGTACATTCCTTTTTACAGTTCTTACAAGTACTTTATTTTAAACAAATAATTTGAATCAGTAAAGCATTATTACATTTTTAATAAACTGATAATCAATAAGAATTTAAAATACTTCTAATGAAGAATATCATTAGTGTTTTCTACTCGTAATAAAGTAAGATAATTTGTTTCAGACTTACAGTTTTACTTATTACTGATAAATAAAAATGTTTTCCAGTTTTGGTAGATACCTAATGTCTTGAGGAACAAACAGTCTATCATCAAAGAGAAAATTTTTCCATTTTTGAACGCCATAAACTAGATGTACACAGTTGCTTCTAACAATGGGTATTCAATATATATTCATGTTACATAATCAACTTATTACAGAGTTCTTGTCAGACACAGTCCTTCACGCGGTCATGAAAGCGGTTTTCAGTGATACTGACATACGACTCATTTAACAATTAGACTTCCAGACTCTTCTTTGAACGTGACACAAATAACAAAACCCCAAATTCTTTCGTCATCGTCTCCAGTACTACAGAAAAGATAAGTTAAACATTAGAAAGTAAGATCCATACAATATTTTACATAAAACGGTAAATATAGTACCAAATTACTGTACTCATGCACTAATTCATTATTCAAATAAACAGGTAAATAAAAACTTCAAAACAATAGAAATACGTACATCTATTATGTAGATAACTTTTATCACATCATAGTTATAATAGTACTAGTTATTTATGTCAGTTTTAAAGTATATTTATTTTAGGTTACATAGTTGTTACGAAGATATATTACAATAAACATGATGTCAGAAAAACACATAGGTTCATGAAGAAAGGTCCACCTTACATAGTTTTATTTTCACGACCCCTATTTGCCATAGTGGGAAATTGTTTTCATACAAAAATTACTTTCTTCGTACCACAACCTACTTCTTTTTCTTCTTTGCTGATAATTGGAGAAATTCAGTTAAAAACAAACAAGTATTATGCATTTTTTTATGGCAGTATTTAATTTCTGTCTTTGTTAATAGGAACTTACTGAACGAAGCTAAAATGGTTATTAAGGCATTTATAGCACATTGGATAACTAAATTATCTCAAGTTTATTAAACAAGGAATTTTCTTTGGAGTTTGTAAAAAAAGAAACCAACCTTTATATGTTTCTTTTTCATGAAAAGCTATATAAGAGCTACGTGTGTGTGTGTGTAGCCATTCCTAATTTCTAGCTAGTGGATTAGAGGGAAGGCAGCTAGTCAAAAAGCACCAACCATCAACTTTCAGGCTACTCCTGTTTCATTGAATAGGGGACCGTAACTATCAGTCTTATAGTGCACTCGTGGACCCAAAGTGCAGAGTTCACTTTTGCAGCAATGAAATGTAAACCATAAACCCTCATACTCACAGTTCAGACACACCCACTATGCCAAACCTTACCCAGAACTCATACTTACAGTTCAGACACACCCACTATGCCAAACCTTACTCAGAACTCATACTCACAGTTCAGACACACCCACTATGCCAAACCTTACCCAGAACTCATACTTACAGTTCAGACACACCCACTATGCCAAACCTTACTCAGAACTCATACTCACAGTTCAGACACACCCACTATGCCAAACCTTACTCAGAACTTCACAGTTCAGACACACCCACTATGCCAAACCTTACCCAGAACTCATACTCATAGTTCAGACACACCCACTATGCCAAACCTTACTCAGAACTCATATTCACAGTTCAGACACACCCACTATGCCAAACCTTACCCAGAACTTCACAGTTCAGACACACCCACTATGCCAAACCTTACTCAGAACTCATACTCACAGTTCAGACACACCCACTATGCCAAACCTTACCCAGAACTTCACAGTTCAGACACACCCACTATGCCAAACCTTTAAAACCTTTAAAAGGGAGTGACTTCTCATTACACTTTTTTTCCCTTTTGCAAACATGTAATTAAGTCTATATAATTAATTTAGTGATTAATTCTGAAGAAAAAAAGTACCCCAGTTTTCTGTCATAAATGCATGGAGAAGGCACGAATGGGTAATGAAGAAAAACTTTAATGTAAGTTTTTGTCATCATCAGGTACAAAACCTTGTCGAAACATTGTACATTTGTTGTTATGTTAAACTTATATTAAAGTTTTTCTTCATTACCCATTCAAGCAGCCTCCAAGCATTATTAGTCTCAATGTGGGTTCCTCGTCATTGAAAATGATTGATTAAAACATCAAATGCCAAAAAATAGCATTATAAACTTTAAGAATGCTAAACTATGATTACTAACCTGAGCAATTTTGTGAATTTGTTCAACTAGAGCAGCCATAACAGCAGTTACACTGATGTCAATCATGTTTTGCATGTAGTGTACAGCTTCTTCATCAGTCAGATCAAGTCTAAACTTATCTTGTACCTAGAACAGAAACACATGTGTACAGCTTCTTCATCAGTCAGATCAAGTCTAAACTTATCTTGTACCTAGAACAGAAACACATGTGTACAGCTTCTTCATCAGTCAGATCAAGTTTAAATTTATCTTGTACCTAGAACAGAAACACATGTGTACAGCTTCTTCATCAGTCAGATCAAGTCTAAACTTATCTTGTACGTATTGGTGTACACTTATGTGTGAAATACTTGTTTTATAATAACGTATCCTAGTATCTAACAGTTATAGTAGAATTTCAACACTACAATAAATGAATAATTTACAAAATTAATTACTAGCACAAGATGAAGCTACATATGTGTTACAGATTACACTCGTCCTAAAAATTGGTTTTAAAAAATCATTAAATTTTCTTTTATACACAATTTAAATTATTCAACATAACCAAGTTGCACAGTATTTGTAGCATAACAGTACATCTCTCTTTTTCTGTACTTTGTCTGTTGTATTTCTACCAAGTTGCCCAGTATTTGTAACATAACAGTACGTCTCTCTTTTCTGTACTTTGTCTGTTGTATTTCTACCAAGTTGCACAGTATTTGTAGCATAAAAGTACGTCTCTCTTTTCCGTACTTTGTCTGTTGTATTTCTACCAAGTTGCACAGTATTTGTAGCATAACAGTACGTCTCTCTTTTCTGTACTTTGTCTGTTGTATTTCTACCTAGTTGCACAGTATTTGTAGCATAAAAGTACGTCTCTCTTTTCTGTACTTTGTCTGTTGTATTTCTAAAAATATATCATGACATAATTTGTCCTGAAAAATACAAAACTGGGCCCTAATAAGTTCTTTAAAATTTGTATTTGTTTTTAAAATGGTTTCTAATGAATTCACATTGGAACAACCCCAGAATCAGAACTGTAGAAAACATTATTTAATGTTTCTATCTAAGAAGTTATTTTAGTGTACATGTTTTAAAGTATGACATTATGTTATCGAACCTTTTTGACAGTTTTATCAGGTTCAAGAGCAATATCTGGAACACTGGCATCCATCATGAGAGAAAACAAGTTCAAAATCAGGTTGGCATGTCTGAAATGTATAGAGAAAAGTGTAGCTTTAAGCCAGTTAAAAAATCCTAACTCCAGTAAAACCACACACACCTCATATACAAAAACCACAACAAGTAGAAAAATGGGACTTGGCAAACCATCATCCGTATGTCGGGTGAACAGTTACTTATAATAAGTACATAAAAAAGACACACATATTACAATACTACATTGTATTTTTCACTAATTACAACAGATATTGCTGTTGAAAGAGCAGAAAAATAAAGAGTTAAGTCTCTGGGTATAGTTGCTTAGTCGATAACTGGGACACCATGTTTATATAATCTGTTCTTACAACTATCTTACATACATGATGCTCGGAAATAATGGCAAGTACAAAAAAGTCATTTTTAGAGTTTGCTCAACAGAAAGATATCACACTGACAGACAATATAGCATTTCTAAAATACTTTATAGTATTATTTTTGAATACTATTATCACACTAAATGTCTGTTTATTTCCTAACAATCTTTAAGCCATGTTATTTACTTCTTATCTGAATTAATGTGTTTGCTTATCTAAAGTAAAACCCCACAAGATCTGTTTATACTGTGAATTTTACAGGACTTTGTTTACTTGATAATTCCCTCATATTACAATGTATCTATTTACCTGCGTAAGTGTAGAAAGGCAGTGTAACATTGCTTACGAAACTCCTGGTAGTGGTCAGAGTTGATGCCTCCCATGGCTTCAACCATTTCCTTACTTAACTTCATAGGTGGTGGTAGTGGCTTAGGGTCTCGCCCCAAGATGTAACCAAAATCAATGTGAAAAAGCTTGCCTGATCATTAAACACATCAGTTTTAAGATTCAACTCAATCTCAAAAAAATAGCTTTCTTCAGAAATACAACTCGCACTTTACCAACTGTAAGATATATAATTTAATTAGTTTAGCCAAACATACAATATTCATTTTCTGATCAAAGCAAAGAGATTCTCTACATCTTATATAAAAACATCTTCACCCTCTCCAAACTTGTGTTATGCATATTTCCACATTGATTAAATATAACTGTAACAAATGAGAAAACTGGATTCACCTCCTATATGTAAGTTTGAATTAAATTCTAAACTCACCAGTTTTTGTAAGAAGTAAGTTATCCAAGTGTCGATCTCCGACGCCTAGCAGGTAGGTAATCACGCAATAACCAGCTTGGAAAAACAAATGTTCATGTACAATTTTATGTAGTTTTAAATGTTACAACATGACATGTAAAAAAGTAGTAATGTATCAGAATCATGTTGTGTGTCAGAGAGGAAGACAAAAAACGTTTATTAAATGGACTATTTCTCTGATATTATAGAAGGTATACCTATAGATACATAACGTTTATTAAATGGACTATTTCTCTGATATTATAGAAGGTAATGTATCTATAGGTATACCTTCTATAATATCAGAGAAATAGTCCATTTAATAAACGTTATGTATCTATAGGATAGATACATAACGTTTATTAAATGGACTATTTATCTAATATTATAGAAGGTATACCTATAGATACATAACGTTTATTAAATGGACTATTTCTCTGATATTATAGAAGGTATACCTATAGATACATAACGTTTATTACATGGACTATTATAGAAGGTATACCTATAGATACATAACGTTTATTACATGGACTATTTATCTGATATTATAGAAGGTATAAAGTATACGTTCTATAATATCAGATAAATAGTCCATTTAATAAACGTTATGTATCTATAGGTATACCTTCTATAATATCAGAGAAATAGTCCATTTAATAAACGTTATGTATCTATAGGTATACCTTCTATAATATTAGATAAATAGTCCATTTAATAAACGTTATGTATCTATAGGTATACGTTCTAT